TTCAATGCAAAAGGCAGATGAATTCAGGGCATGGTTGGGAACATAGGACTGGGATATCACAGCAATTTCAAAAGACATGGTTCCGGGCTGGACAGGACTGCAGCTCAATATTCCAGGTACAGTTGCTGTAGGAAGGATTTGGGGTGGTAGGTGGTGATGGTGGTGGTGGATATTTACGGATAACATTACGGCTGCATTTAGGGAGGATGTTCTTCAGAATACATCCGGGGAAGTTATTTGGGTCGAACAGAGAAATAATACAGGGATGATCACCTTTCTGGGATTGTACTATATACCCACTAACAGTCAGCAGAAAGAAATTTGTAAAGAGACCTCAGTTATCCGTAAGAATAATAGGGTGGTTACGGTGGGGGATTTTAACTTTCCAAACATAGACTGGGGCTGCCATTGCGTTAAGGGCGCAGACGGGGAGGAATTTGTTAAGTGTGTACAAGAAAATTATCTGACTTAACATGTGGATGAACCGACTTGAGAATGTGCAAAACAGGACATATCCTTGGGAAATAAGGCAGGGCAGGAGACTAAGGTGTCATTGGGGAGCATTTTGGGGCCAGCGATCATAATTCTATTCATTTTAAAATAGTGATGGAAAAGGATAGAGCGGATCTAAAAGTTCTAAATAGGGACGACAGCCAATTTTGATGGTATTCAGCAAGAACTTTCAAAAGTTGGTTGGGGACGATATTCAAAGATAAAGGGACAGCTAGAAAATGTGAAGCCTTCAAAAAATGAGATAATAAGAATCCAGAGACAGTATGTTCCTGTTAGGGTGAAAGGCAAGGCTAGTTGGTGTAGGGAAAGCTGGATCACTAGAGAAATTCAGGTTTTGGTCAAAACAAAGGAAGCATACATCAGGTATAGACAGCAAGGATCCAGTGAATCCTTACAACAGAGGCAGTAGAAGTATACTTAAGAAGGAAATTAGGAGGGCAAAAAGAGGATATCAGACAGCTTTGGCAAACAGGGTTAAGGAAAATCTGAAGGGATTTTATAAATACATTAAGGACAGAACAGTGACTAGGGAGAGAATAAGGCCCCTTAAAGATCATTCGGCCATCCGTGTGGGGAACCGCAGGAGATGGGAGAGATGTTAAACGAGTATTGTGCATCAGTTTTACTGTGGAGAAGAATATGGAAGATACATAATGTAGGGAAATAAATAGCGGCATCAAAAAATGTCCATGTCACCGACGAGGTGGCACTAGACATCTTAAATTGCATAAAGGTGGATAAATCCCCAGGCCCTGATCAGGTGTACCCTAGAACCCCATGGGAAGCTAGGGAAGTGATTGCTGGGCCCCTTGCTGAGATATCTGTATCATCGATAGCTACAGGTGAGATGTCAGAAGACTGGAGGTTGGTTAACGTGGTGCTACTATTTAACAAAGTTGCTAAGGAAAAGCCAGGGAACGACAGACCAGTGAACCTGACATCAGTGGTGGGCAAGTTGTTGGAGGGAATACTGAGGGACAGGATTTACATGTATTTAGAAAGGCAAGGACTGATTAGGGATAATCAACATGGCTTTGTGCGTGGGAAATCGTGTCTCACTAACTTGATTGAGTTTCCTGAAGTAATGAAAAGGATTGATGAGGGCAGAGCACTGGACATGATCTTTACGGACTTCAGTAAGGCATTCAACAAAGTTCCTCATGGTCGACTGTTTAGCAAGATTAAATCACATGGAATACAGGGAGAACTAGCCATTTGGGAACAGAACTGGCTCAAAGGTAGAAGACAGAGGGTGGTGGTGGAAGGCTGCTTTTCAGACTGGAGGCCTCTGACCAGTGTGTGCCACAAGGATTGGTGCTGGGCCCACTGCTTTTCATCATTTATATAAACGATTTGGATGTGAACATAGGAGGTATGGTTAGTAAGTTTGCAGATTATACCAAAATTGGAGGAGTAGTGGACAGTGAAGAAGGCTACCTCAGAGTCCAATGGGATCTTGATCAGATGGGCCGATGGGCCGATGGGCCAAGGAGTGGCAGACAGAGTTTGATTTAGATAAATGGGGAAGTGCTGCATTTAGGAAAGGCAAATCAGGGCAGTACTTGTTCACTTAATGGTAAGGTGCTGGGGATTGTTGCTGAACAAAGAGACCCTGGAGTGCAGGTTTATAGTCCCTTGAAATTGGAGTGGTAGGTAGATAGGACAGCGAAAGCGATGTTTGATATACTTTCCTTTATTGGTCAGTGCATTGAGTATCGGAGTTGGGAGGTCATGTTGCAGCTGTACAGGACACTAGCTAGGCCACTTTTGGAATACTGTGTGCAATTCTGGTCTCTCTGTTATATGAAGGATGTTGTGAAACTTGGAAGGGCTCAGAAAAGATTTACAAGGATGTTGCCAGGGTTGGAGGATTTGAGCTATGGGGCTATATGCTGGGGCTATTTTCCTTGGAGCATTGGAGGCTGAGGAATGACTTTGTAGACATTTATAAAATCATGAGGGGCATGGATCAGGGTAAATAGACAAGGTATTTTCACTGAGGGAGTCCAAAACTAGAGGGCATAGCTTTAAGGTGAGGGGGGAAAGATTTAAAGGGACCTAAGGGGCAACGTTTTTCTGCATAGAGTGGTGCATGTATGGAATGAGCTGCCAGAGGAAGTGGAGGAGGCTGGTATAATTACAACATTTAAAAGGTATCTGGATGGGTATATGAACAGGAAGGATTGAGAGGGATATGGGCCAAATGCTGGCAAACGGGACTAGATTAATTCAGGATATCTGGTTGGCATGGACGAATTGGACCGAAGGGTCTGTTTCTGTGCTGTACATCTCAATGACTCTATGAGAGAAGATCCATTGGGCTGATAAAGGGTATGAGACTGGCTTACGCAGACAGTTTGAGCAGGTTGGCCTGTACTTAGCAGAATTTAGAAGAACGAGAGGTGACCTTATTGAAATATCCAAGAGTCTTAGGGGATTTGGCACAGTAGATCTGGAAAGGTGGTTTTTCCTTGTGGAACAGTCTCAGACCAGAGGACATAATTACTGCGTAAGAGTTCACTCATTTATGACAGAGATGAGAAGGAATTTCTTTCTTAAAGGGTAGTGGAATCCATCGAACTTTTTACTTCAGAAGGTTGTCAAGGCTCTGACATTAAGTATAATCAAGGCCGAGACAGATCGATTTTTAATTGGTAAGGAAATCAATGGCTATAGGAAAATGCAAGAAAGAGATGAAGATTATTAGGTCAGCTGTGATCTCATTGAATGTGGAGATGGACTGGGGTGGGCAAGGTCTGAAATCACTTGACACCAGGTTATAGTCCAACAGGTTTATTTGGAAACACAAGTTTTCGGAGTCTTACTCCTCCTTCAGGTGTTAGCTTGTTTTTCAAATAAACCTGTTAGAATATAATCTCATTGAATGGCAGAGCAGGCATAAAGGGCTGAATAGCCCATTTCTACACCATGTCTTATGATCTTATAGCAGTAAACTGCATTGTCTGTTCATTAAAATTTAATTTCCCTCTGACCATGGAGAAGTGCCAGAGGACTCGAGGACGGCTAATGTGGTTCCACACCTTGCATTTACCTTTAAAATAAGAAACAGTTAGGATCTAAACTATCTCCTGAATATATTTTGAGGGGTTGGTCTAGTCTATAACAATGTAAAACATGTCATGAGCCGATGGGACCTAAAATATTAAAACAGTTTTTTGAAATTCAGTCATGGGGCGTGGACATCACTGGCCGGGCCAGTACTTATTGCCCATCCCAAATTGCACAAAGGGCAGTTGAGAGTCAACCACATTGCTGTAGGTTGCAAGTCACATTTAGGGCGAACTGGGAAAGGGCGGCTGATTTCCTTCCCAAAGAACGTTAGCAAACGAGATGGATTTTTCCAACAACAAACAAGGGTTTCACGGTCATCATTAGACTCTTAATTCCAGAATTTTATTGAATTCAAATTCCACCACCTGCCATGGGTCTCCAGAACACTACCTGGGTCTCTGGAGTAATGGTCTAATGATAATATCAGTAGGCCATCACATCCCCTCATTGGACTGCAGTGAAGGTTTAACGTATGATAACCTATATTTCTACAGGAGGTGGAATATGCAACTATCAAGAAAAATTCAACAGATTAAATAATTGACCCGAGCAGACGTGTCTGTTTTAACAATCATTATTGATCACCGATAAAAAGAAGCAGCACTCCTCATTTTCTCAGATGGTCAGAAAGATATTTTTAAATTGAGAGCCTTTTTTCTGAATCTGCATGTGTTTGAGTGAAATACACCAAAATACAAATGCATCCATAAAACTTTCTCATGCACATTTTCTATATACTATGAAACAGCATTACTTTCTATTACACTAAAATGAGATATACCAAAGAAGAAACAATCTGAAACATTAACTCTGCTTTTCTCTCAATTATTACCTGTTTCCAAAAGTTATTTAATATTGACAGCAGCCAAGACGAGGACACATTTTAACCCGAAAAATTAATATCTCAAGATTCCCCATCTCAGCAACTGAACTGCATTTTGAAACTCCAAATATTTTTTCTTCACAAACAACAACTAGATCATTTCAAACTTTTATAATATTCCCACCTCTCCTCTTCTTAATATCACCTTTGCATAAATCTTAAGGGTCTAAGTTTGTGTTCTCTGATTATATTTTCCAGACTTACTTGAAAGTGATATTAGTATTTTCTTTAACGAGTTTCTTTCTGAAACACTTGTTTTCTAGGCTGGAGACATAAGCTACTCCAATACAACGAAGGGATTCCAGAAGAGAGTTATGTTAACACCACTAACTATGCCTGAATATGAGGAGCCTTGTAACATTTTCAGTGATTTGTCATAGAGCTAGCTTTTAATTGAGGAACAGCTACAACCTTTAAGTAAGATGGTGAATCTATATTCAGAATAAAATTCTTGGTATAGACTATAGATAGTTTTTAAATATTGCATATAGACTTAATTTCTGTAATCTTGAAACAGGTTTAAATGGCTTACCTCTAACAAATAAAAGTATCTGTTGAACTGTGGACTTTTGGTATCCTCCAATCCTTTCAGCTGCCGTGTAATGAACATGAATATGTCCTGCCCACACAGAAGAACAAGCACTATTTAGCAAATATTTGCCATTAATTAAAAATACTTCTGATCGATTCATGATCAAACAAAATGTTATATCCAAATTTACAGAACTTTGCAAAGTTGCATTTGGTAAAATATCGGCATAACGTTAAACCCCATTAATTTGACTCTGTCTTCCATCTGTTAACTGACCCTGAAACCATCTAATACATTATACCAATACCACGAGCTCTTATCGTAGGCAATAAGCTTTATATAGTACCTTCTGGACGTCTTCTGAAAATTCAAATACCCCACATCTACAGGTTTTCCTTTATCAACTCTGTTGGTTATGTCCTCAAAGATCTCTAGCAAATTTATCTAACATGATTTTGTTCTCTTATGGTGCAGTGGTTGCATCACTACCCCTGGACCGGGAGGCCTGGGCTCAAGTCCCACCTGCTCCGGAGGTGTGTAATAACATCTCTGAACAGGTCGATTAGAAGAAAAGTTTCCCTTTCACAAAACCATGTTGACTGTTTGTTTGTGTTAAGGTTTTCTGGATGTCCTGCTTTTTCTTCCTTAATTATGGTCAGAGCATTTTCCCAATAACAGATGTTAGACTGGCTTAGTTTCCTGCTTTCTGTTTTCCTACATTCTTGAACAGCAGTGTCAAATTAGTGATTTTCCAATCCGCTGGAAATCTCCTGGAATATTTTGACCAATGCTTCAACTATCCCTGTAACGACTATGAAAACCCTTGAATGCAAGCCATTAGATCCTGGTGACTTGCCTGTCTTTAATCCTTTCAATTTGTCAAATACTTTGTCCCTTGTGACACAGACTGTTATTGTTTAATTTACTGTAGTCAGATGTACCTAAACACAGTTAAAAGTTTTGTTTTGCATGTAGTACAGGCAGATCATAACATACAAGGTTATACAGATCATAGGGTATTTAGACAGAGTGAGGCATACAGTTACAGTTGCATAAGAGGTGCACAAAAGCAAGATCAACATTAGATTTGAGAGATTACAAAGTTTTTCCTCCCAATGGAATCTTATCTGATTTCTTAGGGAGGTTTCCAGTATCCTCCACTACAAAGGTCCATGCAAAATACTGGATTAAATTATTGGTCTTTTCCCCTGTTCTCCATTAATTGATTTCAGAGTTGCATCCTCCATGGGCTCTACACTTACTTTAATTACTCTCTCCATATTTCATATACATAATCATCTTCCATATATCCTTGCCCATCTGATTTGTCCACTCAACATATAGATTAAAATCACGCATGACAAGTGTAAAAACTTTTTCTGTTTGTTTTAATATTTCCTACCAATTTACTTTCAAAATCAATTTCCTCCCTCTTTGTTGCTTTTTAGTCATCCGCTGCTAGTTCCTTAAAACCCAATCCTCTGGCATACCACTAACTTTTGCCACCTTGTATGGCTTTGTTTTTGATCATATACCTCCTTCAACCGCCTTTGTTAACCACCAATGGCTCATCCTTCTCATTGAGACATTCATTTTGACCAGAATAAACTTATGCTGAGCATTATAAAATATCTGCTTAAATGCCTGTCACTGCTCATCCATGGACTTTTCCCTTAGTCTACTTTCCCAACCCACTTTAGAAAATTCATTCTTCATTCCACTGTAATTGCCCTCATTTAAGTTGAGGACATTGCTGTGAGTTGCTGTCCCTAAAAGAGAATGCAGAATTTTATTATGTAATGAACTACACATGAACTAATGAGATATAATGTGGTAGGATTAATGAGAGATCTTGTAAACAATATAGCCACAGTATTGTGTAGTAGACCTTCAAATGAATCCTTCTCCCCCCAAATTTTTTAAAGCCCTGTCGATATCCCTAGTTAAATGATTCATTAGGGGAGTGGAGCCTGTGACCGGCAGAACAGCTCTCTCTTTAACCAGTAATGATGCCAATGGCCCAGCAATGGGAACTCATTTCTTACATACCAATATTTGAGCCACGCATTTACTTCTCTAATCTTACTTAGTCTATGCCAATTTGCACATGGGTCAGGTAATAATCTGAAGACTGCCACCTCTGTGGGTCTGCTTCTTAATTTAGCCCCAGGCTGTTCGTAAAGCCTCAGAACTCACTCCCAACACTCCCACAGTCAACACTTGCTGCACATGGCCATTGTGGATCTCACAATGTACAAGAGCTCCCATGTATTAGAGCTGTAACACATCGCCTGTCCAGCCATCTCTATTCTATTTGATTTATCCATTTGAAGTTAACTATTTTAAAGGTTAATTTTTTAAATGTATTCTTCAACTCTGATAACAGCTCCTGATTCAAACCAATTAGTCAAGAGATATGGAAGATATACCCACCAATCACCTACCCATTGCCCTTTAACGTCATACTTTAGCTCTAACAGAAAGAAACAATCTGAAGAGGCTCTCTCCTCCCAGTTTTTAATTGCATTAGTAGCTGCTCTTATCATGGTCTTAAGATCTAAGAGTGGTCCTACTTAAGATATAGAAGCAGATTTAGGCCATTGGGCTCATCGTGTCTGCTCCACCATGGCTAATATGTTTCTCAATCCCATTCTCCTGTCTCCTCCCTGTAACTCTTGATCCCTTTACCAATCAAATACACTCTTAAATACACTCAATGACTTGACCTTCTGCAGCAAGGAGTTCCATAGATTCACCACACTCTGACTGAAGCACTTCCTCCTCATCTCAATTCTAAAGGGTTGCACCTTCACTCTGAGGCTGTGCCCTCGGGTCCTCGTCTCTCCAATTAGTGGAAACGTCTTTTTCACATCCACTCAAAGCAGACTTCTCAGTATTCTGTATTCTTCTCTTTGTTAAGCTGCTGACCTGCTTCCTCAATTGTTTGAGAAGCTGCTAACTCTCCTGTCCTTATCCAGGGTAGCTACAGTAAGTCTCCAAAACTACAATGTCTCTCAAAACACCTCAAAACTTACCTAACAGGTCTCAAGATGAATGATGAGCAAGGTGAATGGCTTTGCCAGAGATGGGCCCATCCTATTAATAAAATGTCAATTAAACATTCACTCTTGCCACCAGCAACAATTACAATAGTGTGAATCAGTTACAAGAAGTACAGGAGCAATTCACCAAGCTTTTTTTTTCCTCACAGCACTCCCGAAATTGTTAACTCCACTACCTGGAAGCACAAGCACAACAGGAACAGAGCCACTAACTGCAAACTTCATTCCAAGTCTCACACAATTCTAAACTTGTCCTTTCTTGCCATTCCTTAACTGTGGCTAAGCAAGAGACCTAAAACTGCCCACTTAATAGCACCGTGGGTGTACCAAAAGTGCATCTCACTGGTACAGAGGTTCAAAGTAGCTCCTCTCCATTACCCTTTCAAGGGCAATTAGAGTTGTGCAATAAACACTGGTCTTGCTGACAACACCATATCCTTAGACCAATGAAACCTCTGCTGCTCATCTACTGACACAAATCAATTCCAACTCACCCCTGAAGCAGTCCTTATGTTTGTGAATACATTAGTGTCATGGATATATTTTGAGACTATTACTCCAGACTATTTGAGTTCTAATCCCATCCCGCAGATCGAGAACCTGAATAAAGTTTCTGAAAAAATTTCAATTAAGATAGTGGAGGTTCTGTAAAATTGTTTTGAAAACTTAACTAATGACCTTTTGAGAAGAAAATATGCCTTTCTTATCCAGTCTGGCTTATAGGCGGCTCCAGTCTCATATCAGTATGGTTGATTTTTAACTGCTCCTTTCCCTAAAGTACATGAAACCACAATAAAGGCAGCAACGCAAACTGCAGTGGGACAACTCTGGATGGACAATCAGTCTCAACAGCAATGCCTACATAAAACGTGAACAAAACCTAGGTTATGTTAGAGATCATGTAATGTGCAAACTTTTCTCAATGTCGAAGGGCTGGAGAATGTCCAGATAATACGATAAATTTGATCCCAATTTGAATCAAATTAAAAATAATAAATTCAACAACTTGGAGATATTTTCTCCAGAAGAGGGAGGCTAATGGTACACCTGAGAGACCTCTAAAGTTGTCACATCTCAATATGGTACACATGCAGATATAATGTTTCCACTGATCAATGAATAAAGAACATAGAGGCATAAATGTAAGGTATTCAAAACAATCAAATCAAGAATTCTTAGAACTGCATTGTTTACTGCGTGCTGGATGTGAGTGCGTACTTTTAGCAATCACAGTTTGGCTAGTGCTCTGTTTGCAAGCCACAGTTCGGCCATTGCTCTCTTTGCGTCACCATCCCTGGGTAGGTCCTCCATGTTGAACACCACTTGAACAATGCACCAACCGCCAGAACCTATGCTGTATTAGATGTTTCAATGTCCACCAGCAATAGTGGTTTGGTGGCAGCACTACAGAGTTATCTGGTGTGTCATAAAGCACGTCATTGCTAAACTAGGTTTGTGCAAAGTGGTAACGGAACTAATAAGAATGAAAAATAAACTTGGCATCACTTTCACCAGGCTGTTTGTTGCAGATGCATTGGTCTGGGTGAGCACTGGAAGGAATGACTACTGTATAGTCCTCACATTATCTTGTGCGGCAGTGCCACAGAGCTAAATGGGACAGACTTCTGACAGATTTACTCTGCATGAAATCAACAAGTGGCTGAAGGCACAGGCCATGGGTCCTGACAGCATTCTGACAACAGCACTGAACATCTGTGCTCCAGAACTAGCTATGCACCTCACCAAGTTGCTCAAGCCACAATAAGTTGCTGGAAAAGCTCAGCATGTCTGGCAGCATGTGCAGAGAGAAATCAGAGTTAACGTTTCGGGTCCAGTGACCCTTCCTCAGAATGCTACAACACTGGTATCCATAGACAACATGGAAAATTGCCCAGCTATGTCATGTGTATAAAAAGCAGATCAAATCCAACCTGGCAAGTTACTGATCCACCAGTCTACATTCAAACATCAGCAAATTGTCAACAGTACTGTCAAGCACTAATGCTCAGTATGGGTTCTACCAGG